CTTAAGTGAAATAAATAGGACACACGTGTAAATACCAACTAGTTTCTCTAGTATGAAAAACTAACAGTGTAAATAAGGATCAAAATGTATAATTGATGTTGTGAAATATGAAGGAAAGGTCTGAAGGAGTAGGGGAAGTAGGAGGGGTATGGGAAAGGAAAGAAGGAAGAAGAAAAATATGAGAAAAGGAAAAAATGAAAACAAAGTCCTTGTAAATAGGAAAGGGCGAAGGGGGTGAAGGGAGGGCAGGGGAATGGGGAGAAAATAAGAACCAAGATACAGCATGTAAAGCTGCAAGATCCTAATGATGTATTGTGTACCTATAATGTACCAATAAGCTTAATGGAAAAGGAAAAAAAAAAGATGGAATTAGTTGCTGTGCTCCTTTTTTTTTTCCTTTGTGCGATCATTTTGTATTGATGCATGTAAATTTGTATATTCAGTAGTGTTTTCTTATTTTAAAGCTGTATTTATACCCAGGGGAAAGTACTACTTTTCTGCTTCCAAATTTCTCTCATTGGTGTTCATTTTATTACCTTTCTCTAAGGCAATAGTTTGATTCTAATTGAATTATTTGTAAACGGTCTTCATATGACCAACTTGATCAAATTTTATACTACCGCCATCTGACCTTCTAAAGATCATCAAGGCGTACATTTCTCCTTAGTTACTTTCTTGTCACTGAGCAAAATACTTGATACCTACAGATTAAAAGAGGAGGGATTTATTTTGATTGATGCTTTTAGTCCATGATCAGCTGGCTCCAAGACAAGAAGAGGATGGCCAAGGCCCTGATGGAGGAAAAGGTGCTCAACCCATGGCAGCCAGGAAATAGAGAAAGAAGCCAGGGGCCCGGGAATTTAGCTCAGTGGTTCCACTGCCTGCCTAGCAAGTGCAAGGTCCCAAGTTCTATCCTTCATACCAAAACAAAACAGAAACCACACACAGAGAAAGAAGGAGGGAGGAACAAGAATAAACCCTTCCAGGTTGCAAGCCCAAGGCCACCGTAACCCACCTCCTAATAATACATGTAACTACTGAACTCATCAACGTCTTAATCTATAGATATGTACAGTTATAGTGCCCTGTGACCCAATCAACCTCCAAACACGTCAGGCCTCGGGGAGACATTTTAGATCTACACATAACATTTCCCTCCCTTGATCCTTCACTCAGCTAACAAGATGTATTTTTTTGAGTACCAACTTGGTAGAGACCATTCTGCCAGGTACATTGGAGAATATTAAAGAGGATAAAATGTGGGACGTAGTGTTGCACACCTGTAATCCCAGAGCTTGTGAGGCTCAGCCAGTTGGATTGCTATAAGTTCAAGGCCAGCCTGTGCTACATAGTGAGTTCAAGGTCAGCCTGGACTATACAGGGAGACCGTGCCTCAGAAAAGCACCCCCCCCAAAGAGAAAGGATGAGACGTGGACCTTGCCTTGCCTTCTAGGAACTTACCAGGATAACACGGTGGTTTAAGTGTGGACTCTGAAGCCAGACTACTTAGATTTATATCCCAAATGCCATCTTCTGTCTTGTCCCTCTTGAACAAAATATTTAAACTTTCCAAGTCCCATTTTCCTCATTTGTTTTTTTTTTTTTTTTTTTTTTTTTTTTTTTTTGGTTTTTTGAGACAGGGTCTCACTATGTAGTGAGACTGACCTGGAACTCACTATGCAGCTCAGGCTGGTCTCGAACTCACAGCGATCCTCCTGCCTCAGCCTCCTGAGTGCTGGGATTACAGGCGTGTGCCACCACGCCCAGCTTCCCATTTTCCTCATTTGAAAGAAAAGGCTAATAGTAATACTTATGTCATAAAGTTGTGTGTTGTATTAAATGATAGTAATATGTCTAAAGTATTTTGGACTATTCCTGGCACTTAAATTTTAGCTGCTATAATATTCATTTTAGGGATAATAAATAAGATATTGAAATCAGGACCAGAGTAGCACATAATTAAATTCCACAAGTGATGAGAAAAGCATCTTACATCACCACTTAAATTGGCTACCTGTTCCGTATGCTATCCTGTTTCCCTGATATCAGAGTTCTAGGTTATCATGACGCAATTTACAGTGTTTGTTCAGAAATGGTGCAAGAGAGATTGATATAGATTACGAACTCTTTAAGGAAGCTTTGATTAAAACTCTCAGATAGGTCTTTTGCAGCTTTTTCGTTGTCCGCATTTAGGAATGCTCTTCCCTACCCTCAAACCTGTCTGGATTACCGTGTTTGGCAGTTGAAGACTTAAATTGAACAGCATACTTATTCATCCTTAAGGGGTGCTGAGATCTGATGAGTCATTTGTGCCTAAGTGTTGCAATCAGATTCTTTTTCATTGAGTAGCTGGCCAGAAATCAGAGATAATGAGAAAAATAGAAATTTATTCTTTGGGAGAGACATGAGTAATTTTGGAGTACAGGGTATTTTATTTCCTCTCAATAGAATTATTTAGTGGGGTGTCCAGCAGCATGACATCATTGGGAATGGGAGGAAGGCACAGAGAGACAAGTGATAGAATGTCAAAACCTATTTCATCTAACTGTTGCCTGTTAGTATTCATTCATATTATGAATGAAGCAAGCTGTTCTGGGGTCGAGCTAGGAAGCTAACTACCACATACTTGATTTTGGTCAGAATTTCTTTCTTTCTTTCTTTCTATCTATCTATCTATCTATCTATCTATCTATCTATCAAACTCTGGACCTTGAATTTGCAAGGCACCACTGAACTAAATCCCTGGTCTATACTTGATTTTGGAAGATGGATTGTATCTAGGTTCTAAATAATCAAAAGTATGAGTCCTTTAAATTGTTTTTTTGGAGTGCATCTTCTTTAAATGACGTAAATGGTAATTGCTTTATAAATTCAGAAGAAAATTTTTTTCACTCAGGGTTGTAGTAAGGTCAATGTCAAGGAAAAATAGGGCTTGAACTATATAATCATTTTTAATGTTTTTAATTTTTTGTGTTTTCTATACCTCATGCATTGTTTTTTATAACCCTTTTTATTTGTGACGCACAGCGGTTATACTCAGCTTAGGGTACATATATATCTATGTCATCTCGGTCTGTTTTACTCCCCCACCCCTCTCGCCTCCCCTTTTCACCCTTATTCTTCAGCATCCCCATTTCTTAACTTGGGTCTTTTCTTTTGCTCTTCAAATTGTTTACATTTTGGGTCTCTCATGTAAAGCAGCTATGTGACACTTACTTAACCTTTTGCTATTGACTTATTTCACTTAGTGTTATAGTCTCAAGATCCATCCATTTTCCTATAAATGACCCGAATTTATCCATCTTCATGGATGAGCAGTTCTCCATTGTATATTTATGCCTCATTTTCTTGATCCATTCGTTTTTGTTTTCATCTGTTCATTTGTTGATGGGCATATAGGCCACTTCCTTGATTTAGCTAATTGTGAGTTGTGCTGCTATAAATGGAGTGTGGCTGTATTGCTGTAACATGATGACTTTAGCTCTTTTGGAGAGAAATCCAGGAGAAGTAGAGCTGAATTGAATAAATTTCTATTTTTAGTTTTTTTATTAATAAAGAAAATATTAAAGAGCAGTCTTATTTCTATGAAAAAATAAAACAAAATTTTATGACAAAATAATTAGAGAATAACAATAGTTAATACACTGGGTGCCATAATCTTAATGACCAAAATTTTACTCAGAGTACAATTACCAAAAAGGGGAAAGCGGAACTTGTGCTATTATGGCTGCTTTATGTTCTGAAATTCAAACTGTTTAACTTGAATGGTCATTTTGACTTTAGAGAAGAGCCAGAAGTTGTAAGGTACCAGATCTGGTGAAAAAGGTGGATCTTTTATGAGCTTACTGCTCCATTGGATGGACCTTGGTAGCCACGTTTACCATATTTTTGATCACCTTTTGTATTTTAACTACTGGCTGAAAAAGCTAAATTCTTTTCTTAAGGAAGGAGTTGTTTTCTTTACTGCTGACTGTCTTATACTACAAACATAACTCCAAATTATTCTTCAGAGTAGGCTAATTTTATGACATTAATGTTTTTAAAAATAGCTTAAATGAAGTTCTCATTTGTTTTTATAGAGCCTGAGGTTTCAAAGTTGAAAAAGTTTTTGCTCTGAAAGTCATTTTAGGTGACAGGATTTCCTAGTATGTAGGATACCATGTATGTAGGATACTCTGTTAATCGTTGTAACAGCGTACAGTCGTTGTAGGCCTAAAGCAGTGGCGGCAAACCTACGGCACTCATGCCACACTGGGCTACTTGTATCATTGAAAGCTCTAAAAGGTTTGCCATCACTAGCCTAGAGTTTTGAAGTAAACCTTCAAAGTACTCTATCACTAAGAATGCCTGGATACCACTACCATAATCCCTTTTTACTTTTTCAGTTCATTTAATAGATTTAAAAGAGTGTGTTCTCCTGTCTATGATGTGATATAGAAAGTAAGTGGAGAAAATGAGAGAATCTTCACTGAGAATTTTATAGAAACACATTCTGTAAAGCAAGAACTAATTGTATATACAATTTTCATACATTTTTTTCAGGGAAATCTGTGAAATGATATGTATGTAGATAAGAAATTCAGAGTGACCACCATATGCCACGATTTTTAGTTGTCTGGAATGAATTTTTTTTCTTTGAGTGATTGATGTCTGGTAGTAATATAAAGTGTAGGTGAAGATTTATAAATCAGAATTTTAAAAAATAAAGTTGCCTCATATAGATAATGTCCCAATATAAATTCTTGTAAGACTTGTGAGACTTTAGTGCCCATTTTATCTGTTCCAGTGGTGACCACATCCAGTTGAATTTCTCTTTAAGATTGTGATCTAGTTTATACTTTCATAAAGGTTTTTTTTTTAATGCTTACAGTCAAGTTGAACAGTATCTCCAGATAAATAATTCCAAGAATATTTAGAAAAGGTAGGTGTGAATACTTGTTTATTTCTAAATCTCCATTTTGATACAAATACCCATGGTTTTCTTCTGTGTTTACATGCAGCCAGGAGCTATGGGCGGAGACGAGGTAAAATTTTTTTAATGAGATCTTTTGCTTGCCAAATTGTGAGTAAATATGAGTGTGTATGTGTTCATACCTGTGTGTGTGAAATAATTATCATATGGTGTAATGTTCTAGTTTAATTATTTTAGCAAAGTAATTTTCTTATTATCTCAGTTTTTGCTGTTTATTGGTAATTTGTTTTTTAAATACTAATAAAGATAAGGGGAAGATTATTTCTATCTGTAGTGTTTTTTTTTTTTAAGATGGCTTATTTTGAATGAATGTGAAGAAACAAAGAGCAAGCATAGGTATTTTTCTGCTTTGTACCCACTATGTTCTTTTCATATTACTTAGAAGCAGACATTAGATTTTGGAGACAATTTTTTTTTCCAGAGACAAAGAACTTTATTACTCAGGACAAAACAGTAGCCAAGCTTGGGGTTCTCCCTGGTTCCTGATTGGGGCTGGGGTGGGACATGCAGATGCCCTGGTTGTATTTCAGGAGGAGTGCTGGGCTGGCGAATCCTTCCCATAGTGATTAGTAACAAGCTGTCTTTTCCTGGGAGGAGTACTTATTTTATCTATCAAGGTCATTTAATGCTGGCACAGCCCTGAGAAATTACCTGGGGAAACAGCAGTCAGAGCCTTTTGTTTTTGAAAAGTCCAGCAAGAATGTGCAGGTATATTCAGGCCCATGGCAGGTCATGGAGAACAATTTTTGATGTTATCTATATTGGCTAGTGAATACATTTTGTTACACCCAGAAGCATCTTTATCCTGAGGCTAAATGAAACAAAATTTCAGGGACTTTCACTTCTATGGACCCCTTCCAAACTCTACCTATAATTTTTGTGTTCCTTTTCTTAGAGGTACTTTAAAATAGGCTTTTGTCCCTGTAAAACCTGCATGCTCTCCTGGTAACACCCAAACAAAGTAATATAGTTTTCATTTGTATAATGCTGTAACCGTCCTAAAACATTTCCATATCTGTAATTTTTTTCACATAATTTTATGATATCACAGAAGGGAAATTAATGTAGTGGAAAGAATATGGGATTTTAGGCCAAATAACTAGATTATAATTGCCTATCATTTAGATCTGTTGTCCTCATCTGAAAATTATGAGTTAATAAAACTAATCTTGTCCATCTTCATAATATTAGTGAAGTCTAATTAAAAACAACAAAAAAGGACAGGGCTTGGGATGTAGCTCAGTGGTGCCATGCCTGCCTGGCAAGTGCCAAGTCCTGAGTTCGATCCCATGTACCAAGGGGAAAAAAAAAGGACAGGGAAACCTAAATTATGCAAATTAAAGACATCCCATAAATGTGTTAGAATTTGATGCTTATTTGCAGAAGTTTAGGGAGGATAGTAATTTATTTGTTGTGTGACCTCAATTTAATGTCGGATCCAAGATTGAAATAATTGAAATCTCTCTTTTGTTTCCTTTTTTTTTTTAATGTCTTGCTAGGCCATACCAGTAGTTCAGGCTGGCCTTGAACTCATTATGTAGCTTCTGCTGGCCTAGAGCTCACAGTAATCCTCCTGCCTCAGCCTCCTAAGTGCTGGGATTACAAGTGTGCTCCACCATGCTCAGCTCTTTTGTTTCCTTATTTGCCAGTGTTTACAACCCATCAGGCTGTCACTGCTTTGTAGTTGTCATGAAAAAAAAAGAATGTTAAATTCATAGTATTTTATTAGTTATTCTGTAGCACAGTACTTGTTGAAAAAACCTAATATGCATAGTGGGATCATATACAGTATTCACCTTTGCTTTCAGCATCATTGTGTGATTATTTTTCAGTCATAGAAATAAATACCATCTCTCTTTTTGCATTTATTTTTAAGTTAAAACTGTTAAAGCCTAATATATTATTGTAATTGTATTGTACCATACCCTCTCCCACATTGGTAGAAAAATGAACGCTGTCAGGAGTGAATAGGGAATGGACCAGTTTACATGGAAAGTAGATACCATCTGGAGAGTAGACCGCAGGACTGACCTCTCCTCACATACTAATCAGTCACCAGCTTAGTGACGATTTCCTCTCCAGTTTGTAAGGCTTGTTCTTCTCATTTCTACTGCTTTCATTTCTGCTATTTGACTTCTCCTGCCTCGTCTTTCTGAAATACCACTTTGTCCTTATCCCCACCACCACCATTCTTCTTTCAGGGTTCCCATGATTTGGTCCCTGCCTGTTTCACCAGCCTTATGGTCTCCAGTTTCCCATCTTGTTTTCCCTTCCTCTTCATGTATTTTGCCACGTTCTGCTAAGTTCCACAAGTACTCTCATCTACTTGTCCAAGACCTCGTCTTACAAGTTCAAGTCTTATACTCTCTAGGAAGGCTTGCCCAGTGGTCTTGAAGATAGTGGTTTTCTCTGCTTCTGTTACCTTGCGTTTTTATTGTCTTTTCTGTATGCACTGATTTTTCAACTGGAGATAAGTTCTGAGAGGACAGTATCTCCTGTGCCTAATTCTATGCTGTGTGTATAGTTAATTCTTATTAAATGCTTGTTGATTAGGATTATCTTGAAATAAATTCTCACACTTAAGAAAAACAAAACTTTGCGTCGTATTTTATTACTTTATTTTTTTGAGACAGGGTCTCACTATGTAGTCCAGGCTGGCCTTGAACTCATTGTGTAGCCCAGGCTGACCTCAAACTTGTGATGATCCATCCTCCTAAGGGCTATTATAGGTGTGGAACACCATGCATGGCTGCATCATATATTTATAAAGCTTATTTTATTATCTGAATGCAGTGATGTTTAGTTCTAGTCCTAGCTACTTTATAGGCTAGGACAGTGGATTACTTGAGTCCAGGAGTTCAAGGCCAGCCTGCGCAACATAGCACAACTCAGTCTGTAGAAAAAATTTTAAAATAAAAATTATTTTTAAGAAATAATAGCATAATACATGTTAGATGTTTTTATAATATAAAACTAGTAGTTTCTGTGCTCTTGAAAAAATTACTTTTTTTCCACACTACCTTCTGCATATCTATTTTTAAGGTTTAACTGTATTATTTTCATATGCTATGATCTTCTTTGCATCAAATACTATGTTAAACACTTCCTAGAATGACTTCATCCCTGCTCTCATATTTCTTTCTTTTCATTTTTTGTGGTGCTGAGAATTGAACCCACCCAGGGCCCATGCCCTCTTGGGCAAGTACTGTACTATTTGGTCTTTGCTTTCTCTATAACTGTGCAGTTTAATAATTGCAGATAAAGAAGGGAATGAGAAAAAGGGGAGAGAAACACTAAAAGACTGAATATTTGTGGGCAAAAGTGTTTCATCTGTGCTTTTATTTAATCCTTTATCTCCACAGTTGAGAAAGAAGAAAGTGATTTTTCCTTAAACATAATTATGTAGCCATGTAGGATGAAGCAGGTGTACATCATACATAACAACCTCATTCCCAAAGATATGCTTATTTGGGCCACCCCTGCATAGTATAATTTTAATCAAATGACAGATTTCCTCATGTTCTTTTATTCATGTGATCAAGTTTAAATTAATATTTGATCTTTCTTCCAATTAACATTTACACTTGCCTCCCACAAAAGCAAAAAAAAATAAACTTGCTGATTTATGTTACTTGGCTCTATGATTAAGAATAGAACTTTAGCCATAGCATATTTTACGTGATACATAGACATGATGGTACATTTTTTAGGAATAGAAAGTAATGGAAATAGATGTGGACATTTTGAGTTCTGTTAATAAGGATTAGGCTAGTGGAATCTTACATCTCTCCTGAAAAATCTGAAAATTTCTACCTGAAATAGGTAGACTTTCAGAAACCACTTGGATGTTGGGAGAGAAATGGAAAGCAAGGCATTTTACTGTGATGTAGAACTTCAGAGAAAAGAGGAGGTGAGATGGCATGCCTAGGTGCTCAGAGCACATGTCCCCGAACGTCTGAATGGGGCTAGTTGGAAAGAAGTTGTTGGCTAGATGGTCTATGCTGCTTTGATGAATGGCTTTTGAGACAGAGGATGAGACTCCTACACACAGTTGTACTAGGCTTTTGAGAGAGGGTTATGATACAAGTAATGGAAGCAAGAAAAAACGGGCTTCAACTGGGGAGTTGGAGGTTTACTGTTTGCAGACCACATACTACAGGTAATAGTTGAAATAATAGTAGCAGAGTAGGAAAATAATTACATGTGAAAGTAAGATTTGAAAATAAATATCAGTTATATATATTTAAATATCCAATTATATTTTGCATCGATATCCATTTTTATTTTTTCTAATGGACAAATAGTCTTTTACACTAAAGAATACGAAAGAAGTCTTAACAATCTTTAATATACAGTTGTAACCTCTATTAGAAATTAGCCTGTCAGATAGTATGTAAGGTATTTGCTTACATTTAATGTATGTAGTATTTTCCATTTCATGCGTGTGTTTTTATGAAACTCTTGTCCATAAGTAGACGTATTGGCTGTGCCAGTGGTTTTTTGGTTTTTGTTTTTTGCTTTCCTGGGTTGTTTTGGGTACTGATGATCAAACCCAGGGCCTATGCACATTAAGCATATGTTCTATCACGGAGCAACACCCCTATGTCTGTGGTCATTATGTTTAACAAAATTCCATAGCTATAGAGCATCAAGGAGACTATAAAAGATCCTTTTAAACAATGTAAATGAACGAATACAAAGAACCATTGGTTATTGTTTTAAATATGCTTTTGCATATAGTTTAGTCCATAAAAACCTATTGACATTAATGAATGACTGAACTGATAACTTCAGTTCTGTTGTGGGGCTGAGAATATAGCTCATTGGTAGATCTGTCGCCTAGCATGGATTCAATCTTCAGTACCACACAGACACACACTGAAAAAGAAAGAAGAAAGAGGGAGGAAAGGAGAGAGAGAGAGAGAGAGAGAGAGAGAGAGGAGAAAAGTTCTCACATTCAGTATAATAAACATATACTGAATTGAGTTTCAGTCTTTCTGTCAGAAATCTGTTGAAGGGAAGAAAGGCCAGCTATGCTGATGAGACCACAGT